TTATATTCGGGTAAATTCGCATCTTCGCGTTAAATGACATTTCTACTTATTATTCAGAAAATCTCTGCATGAGAGAGGTATTAAGTTTGCCGCTGTGATCATTCTTAAGGAGCAACACATGGGTATGTTAAGTCTTAAGTGTTTGTTTACTGATTTATAAAAAGTCAAACTAAATTTTATCTTCGAATCTTTAGAAGAACAAATGACCGAAGAACGATTGAGTAACATCCGAAAAACAAGTGGCCTTGACACAAAAAATTGCTTCTTTGTGTTGACTCCTAGTGTACATGCGGATCTTCCCGACTACGTCTCAAAGTATTTATGATTGAAGTGTATCTTCCTTTGGAATAAAACTATTACATTTGATATACTAAGATTTACATTTATATTGTCACAAGCATACAAAAAGCACTTTACGAACATGGTTTGAATTATTATCGTGAGCACGGAAAGCGAGTTAAACGAAAGAAATCAAGATTGCCTTCACCTTCCGCTGTGGGTTATGTTAATCCGTCAAAGGAACATCCAGCCGCTGAATCTCATCCACTAAGCGTACAAGGTTGGATGGTTCGCTATGATTACAAGATGGCGACTTTTGCGGAATTCCGCCAAGAGATGAATGCCGCAATAATGTAAACACCTTTTTTTTTTTAAAAAAAAGAACCGTTTGCACAAATTATAACCTTATTGATTATTTTGACTCCAATTGTTAGTTATTATTCATCGTGTTACGATCATCTTGTGGATTTATTCGCCCCTCAATCGTCAATAACTCCAGGTGCACCAGGCTTACCGATACGTAATAAAAGGTGGACCGAAGCACGAGTATTGGCTGATTGTATCAATTTAAAGGTTTTTAAAAATTATTATGGTTGAACATTTTCAATTTCGCATATGACATGTTTTTTTAAAATTTTTTTATTACTTTAATAGATATGCAAACTGAATATGTATATTGATTCCCCGTCAGCTGCATTGGTACAATTAAATAAACACGTCAGCACCTTTAACGAATTATACAATACGTTGGGAATTGGTGAAGATACATTTGAATATTGGTCTTGGTTGTCGAAACAATACCGTATTTTCGGAGATGTCTTAGAGGTGGCTACACGATCCGGATTTATCATACCGGATCCGTCGACAGTGAATCATCACATCTCGTCAAACGATTATAGATTCACATCAAATAATAGTACCGACAACACCGGAGTTAATCCTTCCACAGTTCTCCATCACCCTGGTTTTTACTACCATTTGGCAGCAAAATATAATTCCATGAGAAGGAAAAGGTTCTTGGAATTGGAAAAGGTGCATTAAATAATTTGATTTTTTGAGATTATATTCAACCAAATTATTGTTATTACCAACAAAAAGAAGATTGTCAAAATAATATAGTCCTTTGATTTTTCAGAGCCTTCTGAAAATTGATAACTTAAAGGTTCCTCCTATTATAATTGAAGCTGAGAGAAATCTAGATCATTCAACGTTGACCATAGAACTTTTAACAAAAAGTTACGAACAATTCAAGAAGCAGAAAACCGGGCGTATGACACTTTACCTTGCTTCCCAAATAGCCGAAACTTATTTTGAGGCTGGAAAATATGATATGGCGTTAAAGTAACGATCGCTTCTCATATATAATTTCCTTTTGGTTTAAATAACTTATTCTTATTAAATAATTCTTCTTGCGCTTCAGGTTTTTTGAACGTATCGCTAAAACTTATCGCAAAGAAAAGTGGCACACAGTCCTTGAATCTATCTTACATTGGTCTCTAAGATGTTCTAAGGAATTTGGAACTTACGACAATGTCATAGAATATTACATTGAACTCTTGTCAGACCGTAAGTCCAATTATTAGTACAGACTAATAACGTTTAATAATCTAGTGAGTCTTTAATTTATATCACTTTTTTTTTTAGAATTTCAAATGAGCGAACAGAAACGGGTTGAAATTCAAAAAGAGTTGATGGATGTCATTTACAAAGTATGTTGTTGAAGACTTGAATGTCAATTATCTATCAAAACATAAATTTTATGGTTCTCTTTTTGTACAGAGTGAATTATCGAATTCGATTTCCCCCCGTCACGTTGTTATTGACATGAATGAGATTAATTCATTTTGTATCCTTTTCGTCTATTTAAATCTTAAAAATTTTTTTTTCATATTTCAATTATTTATCGTTGACATTTAATTTATTGATATAATAGTAAATTGTCATGTGCAATATAAGGATTTTGAGACATTTGTTGGAACTCCTACATATTTTCAGGTTATCTTTTCATCACCACCCAGCACGCCTCCATTGCCCTTACGATTCACGTTTCTCCGCTTTTCATTCAATGATTCATACTTTAATTATTATTTGGATGATAATGGACAAGATGAAATTGTTGATGGTAATTTGCAATGGATAGATTGCAAAGATTGCTCAAGGGAAGAAAGGGAAGGAGAAGGTCATGTATGGATTAAAAAAACGAATCTGTCGGTGTTAAGGGGTACCACTAAGGTCTTTGAAGGTCTACTTGTGCCTAAGGAGTGCGGTGAACTAACGGTATGTATTCTCACGCATTTATTAATTGTTTTTTTATTTTGTGAATTGTATTAAGACTTGAGCATATGTAATGTAGCTTCAGCTTGTAACCCTTGGGTTTGTAACCGCGAATTGGAAAATTGAGTTTCGTTTTGACGTTAATTCCTTTCGGGATGAAATTTTAAAGCGCAAATGGCTTAAATTGGACGATGCTAGTGGAGAACAAGGTACGCATTGTATGACACGTACGTAAATTTTGTTCCAAAAGATACTTACCTTAGAAATTTCTAGTTTCGAAACCAAAATTTGTGAACTTGGAAGGAAATGGGGAATTCAATTCAATAAAGTATGTTTACTTGACATCAGCGAAAACTTGTAATCCTTGATGAAATGTACATTTTTAAAATTAAGCGTTGAATCTTGCCCGTGCAAAATCTACATGCTTATCTTATAAAAAACTGAACAAATACAGTAAACGATAAATTGATTTGTTTTACTATTGTTTTAACATAGGGTAACGCAAAAACAAGCAAAGCTTGAAATTAAGGCTAAACATTTAGCACCGGCTTTGCTAGACGAATACTACCCCATCGAATTAACCATAAATAATATGGAATCCGAAGATATTAAGGCAATTTTCCATGTTGGACTTTTCTCAGATATTAATGGTATGTTTGCAAAGTCTTTCAAGTAATATTGGTTTTCATAGCATTAACAATAATCTATTCGTTGTTCTAGATTCAGAGGATCGGGTAGTTTTGGATTACAATAGTAGTGATACCATTCATTTGAAAGACATAGATTTAGGTGTAATAATCGCTAATGGTTCACTTGTGAAAACGATTTATATATTGGGAAAAAAGCATGCGGGCGCTAGGGTTCTTAATTTAGTTGTGAGTAAAAAATATGCTGTTATTCTATTAAACCTATTTGTTATTATCAGTCAAGTGATTATTGTTCCTTCTCTGTAGATTTGGTACTCTTTTGTTTCATCAATACCGCAAGCCTCTCCCCCGACACAAGATTGGATTGAAAAAAGAAAAGATATTAGATTATCGTTTGTCTCACCATTTTCGGTTACGTTTAGCATTTCCCTTCTGGGTCAAGAGTTTGGACAAGATAATGTTGTAAATATTAAGTCGTCACGTGAACGAATAGAAAGGCATCTTTTAGTTGCGAAGATTTCTAGTATTGGTCCGTGGGATATTGTTGTATCTGCGATCGACTTAATAATGGTGAACTTTTTCTTCGACAATATGCGACTATTATTCCTTAGTTGGATTATAATCTCACAATTACTTTTATAGCTTGACCAAGCAAATGCCCAAACTAAGATCGAAGTTATTGCATCTTCTACAGAATTGGATAGTGAATCTTTGGAACAATGTAACTTTGCATGATTTTGTTTCTGCATGCTAAGCACCGTCCGTGACCTAATCGAAATTTTTCCGGTTTAATAGTGTGGAGACCCGGATACATTTTTAATGTGAATTATTTTTTGGAGTTGAAAATTTTGGATGAAAACGTATTAGATCAAAGTGTGGACATAGGATTGCTTGATATTCAATGGAAAAGGTGCGTAAAGTTATTTCTAAAACCATCGAAACTATCTATTTACACTATTAATTCCTGTTTTTTCTAGGAAACAATCAATCGAACATGTCGACGCACCATTCACCGAGACAACGACGATGGTACCTCAACTTCAACGGCACGAATCGGATTTATCTGCTATCATAGGTAAGCACGATTTATTATATAAAGGTACTCGAGAAATAAGTTTATGATGCAATCCACCAATAACATTACCTGGTTTCTAGAAATTCCACCGAATCCTGTTGTTGGAAAAATTTTTACCCTTACGTACAAAATTACAAATTGGTCTTCAGCACCTATTGAAATATATGTTACGGTTGAAGTCAACGACGCTTTCGTATTTTCTGGTTATAAGCAGACACACTTTAGTGTTGATTCCTTTTCAACCTATTTCTTTAAAGTAAACTGTTTCCCACTAATTCCCGGAAAAATTCGATTGCCGAGAGCAAAAATGGCACAAATTCGGGAGCCAGGTAAAGTTGGACAGGAAATTTCCATTGTTGCACCTGGATATAAGGAACCGCACGAGGACGATTGGTATGTGGTTTTTATTAAACCAAAAAAGGTGTTGTTTAAAGAACTAAGTGTTTAATATTGGTCGGTGATAAGTTTGAATATATTGATCATTGACACAAGGGGGCAAATTTATTTTATAATTTATATTTCTTGTTTTCTTCATTAAAGTATTCCCATATTCAATTCAAAAATATTTGGTCGGTTGACAACCGAACTTGGCTGCTGAATTTGTAGATTGTCAAATTGTGCGGTTTCTCGTTCCAATATTCTGCTTAACAATAAAACTTGTAAAGCTTGTATTTGAAATAAACAAGTTTTTTTTTAATAATCGCATCCAATATAAATGATACATGTATATTTAAACTATTATATATTTTCTTGCAAAACATGTCCATACGCCTCAATTTTT